AGCACATGTGTGTACCCTGCGAATACGTGGAGGATCCGAGACGTGCGAAATGCGTGTTCCTCCGCAGACAGGGCAGCATGCTCGGTGCGTGGCACCAGTCCCTGCAGTCCCCAGCTAGGGCTCGGGAGCTGCTCTGATCCCTGTTCCCATCCCTCTCAGGGCTGTTCCAACATTCTTTGGAACCGTTCCCACGAATGGGGTCCTGTCTGGGAACTTTTTTTCTGTCTCTTCCTTTTTCTTATTTTGTTTTGGGAGCAAAATCTCCTTCCCAAGCTACAGTGACATCGCAGTGTCAGAGGGAAAGCAGCCATCACGTCATGAGCTGATGGAGTTGCCTCCCGTGTCTCAGCCGGATGCCTTGGCGTATTTAGACAACGTCCCCCAGGGCAGCAAGGCCAGCAGCCTCTCTTAGTTTTCTTGACAGTCGCGTTCCTCTGTGGCAGAAAAGAATGATTGAAAGGTGCTGTGAGCCAGTGGCAGGTGTCCCCCACTCTCCATTCCCTGGTCCTCCGTCATCCCAGGAGGGAACGGGCAGCCAGGGAAGCCCAGCTGCACATGGAGAGGGGGCTGCTAACACTGGCTGTTCTCCTGGTGTCTGACAGCTGGTGTTGCGAATCAATGCCATTTATGAGGCTCGGAGAGGAAAGAAACGGGTGAAGAGGCTGTCCCAGTCCACGGAGAGCAACTCTGGAAAAGGTAGAACCCCGATGCCGATGCCGCCGTCCCTCCTCCCCCAAAAATCCGAAAAGAGATTCTCTCTAGAATTTGCTTTTTGTTATTTCTGTTTGGCTCACCAAGGAGGAGATCAAGTTGGTGCTTTGTAAATGTCTCTCACTGTCCCAGTGCAGTGGAAGAGCAGGAGATCCACCTGGGACGCGTGTCCTCTGCCTCCCTTTCCTTGTCCTCCATCAAACGTGACTGTGGGAGCAGGCCTCCTTGCTTAGCATACATGGGGGGATGGGATCTTTTGCTCTATTATTTGGTGTAGATTTACCATCTTAACTAAAGCCGAATCGGTTTGGAAATACATCGAGTTGGACAGTCATAGTTTGTCCATTACAGTGAAATAGACAACAAAACATACCTTCTGAACTAGAAATTTTGGATTTGTGCTACCACATAGAAAGAGTTTCTTGCATTAGAAGAACTCACATTTGCAACTTTCTTCCTTGTTCTTTTCCTCTAGTGACAGATGAGAACAGTGAGTCTGACAGTGACACAGAGGAGAAGCTGAAAGGTGAGAAGGCCCATTGCTATGCCAGACGCAGACAGGTGACTTGGAAGCTACAAAGATGGCCCCTCCTTACCGTCCTGCCCAAGTTTGCTGGGCAAGGCATGGATGTCTGAGAGGATGATGGGGCCCACAGGGTGCTCAGGGGCAGGTCATGAGCATGACCAGAGTGACACTTTGCAGGCACCTAGCCTCCCACTCAGCTCCAGAGAGCCAGGGTGGCTATAATAACTGCAGCAGCCCCCACTTCCAAGGCTACATGCCCAGGGCTCCAGACACCAGGGGCTCTTGCCCTACTTCGGTTCAAATCGCTGGGTGATTTGGAGGAAATCACATAAGATCCAGGGTCTCTAGTTCCTTATCTGTCAGATGAAGTTGTTGAAATAATTGGTCCCTGTGGGTCTGAAATCAGTGATCTAGGTATAGGCTTTAGTGAGTTTTCCAAGATTTTTCAGACACCAGGGAGAAGCCAAAGATAGCAAGTCCTGGGTTGCTCAGTGAGGGGACGGGAGTCTGTCTGCTCAGTGACCCTGCCACGTTCACCCTCACACCCAGCAGCTCCCTGGCCCACCTCGAGAATGAAGCGCATTGGTGTCCATTGCGGAGTTCATGGCAGGAGAGGAGGTGGGCAGAGTCCCTGAGTGAGTCACACAGACTGTCTGCAAAGCTCCCAGCTCCAAAAGCTGCGTGCCCTGGATTCTGTCACATGACACAAACTGAAAGTCGAGGGAACTTAGTAAGGGGAGAAGCCAGTATCCCCACCCCATCGGGCAGATGGAGGCAAGGGCTCCTTGAGCCTCTGCCTAGAGGCCCAACAGCAAGACCACGGCGAAGCAGAGTCCCCACGGCGCCAGGCTCCTGAACCCTGATGGTCAGCAAGCCTGTCAAATGTTGCTCCTCCCAGAAATTTGGAAAGAATCCCAAATAAAGAGTTTGCTACTAATTTGTTAGATGTAGAAACATGTTTTGGGTTTGGAAAAAAGTGCTTGAGCTGGGAATTACATAACCTGTTGCAGCTCTGTGTGCAATTCCGCATTGACCAGTGAGTCATTGCAGGCTCTTGGTCTCTCTCTCTCCCTCCAGCTCACAGCCAACGCCTGGTCAATGTGAAGTCCCGCCTGAAGCAGGCGCCTAGGTACCCGTCCCTTGACCGGGAGCTCATCGAGTACCAGGAGAGGCAGCTCTTCGAGTACTTTGTGGTCGTGTCTTTGCACAAGAAGCAGGCCGGGGCTGCCTATGTGCCAGAACTCACCCAGCAGTTCCCTCTGAAGGTACAGGGGCCTGCAGCATTCCAGCCCTAACCGTGGTGGGACTCATGGATTCAGGGAGGTGGGAGGGTCTGAGGAACACCTAGCGTCTAGAACGTTGAAAACAGGTCCTAATGAGGGCATATCAAATGAAAAAACTGCTGCTGCTGGAGAGTTTGGGAGGTCTCAGGAAGGACAGACTCAGGGACTCAAAGAATGGGGGCAAATATCCTTTCTCACTTCCTGTGGTCACTGTGCTGACCACGCCATCCTCTTTGTCCTCCCCATGTCTCTTTATCCACCCAGTCACACCTCTTCCCAACCTGTCCCAGAAGCCTCTCTCCCCTCCAGCCACACAACTCTCCCTGAGCAGCGTCGCGTTTGTGTCTGCGCTAAGCATCTGCTTGTGTGCTGTGTACGTCTGTGTGTGTGCAGGAAGGTCCTGTTAGATCATAGTTCATGGTTATGTGGATGTGTTAAATTATGGCACCTAAAGTAAAATGGCACTTAATAAAGCCTAAAGTGACATGGCCAATAATATGTAAATTATTTTTAGGCTTTGACATCAGTATTAAAGAGTTTCCACCATACTCTAATTCAGTGCAACCAGAATTTTCTAAGAATGTATTATAGTCGGCCGGGCACGGTGGCTCACGCCTGTAATCCTAGCACTCTGGGAGGCCGAGGCGGGC